GTTGTGTGCTTAGAACTGAGCCAGGTACATAGTGGGAACTCAACAAACAGTAGCAAGTGTTGTTACTGTGCGTCAGCTTCGTCCAGCACAGGGCCAGGCCTGGGGTGGGGTCCGGTGCAGGGCCCTCCCCCGCAGGTTGGAAGTCAGCGAGTAGGTGGTGGAGAGAGCACGCTCGGCTTTGAGTCTGGACAGGCCCCTCTTCCTGCAGTCCCTGGGGCCGCTGCCCCACTCCTGCCACCCTGCCCTGGTTCTGCCACCCTGGCACTACTCACGGGAAGGTGGACGCAGCGAAGCAGAGAATGGAGATCAAGCCCAGGCCCACGCTGGCCTCGTCCCAGCCGTCCTGGGCACATTCACCAAACACGTCCCATATCCACTGGCGGGAGCCATTGGGGCAGCTGGAGAAGTTGCTGGAGCCCAGTTTCTTCCAGACCATGGCTGTGGAGGGAGGGTGGGCGCGCGCTGGTGCGCTGAGGTAGGTGAGGACTCTATAGGGAGAAAAAAAGGGGGTCTTCAGCTTTGGGGGGTCTGGGTCCTAGTCGCAGTGCCCCCAACCTAAGCTCACCCCCAGCCTTAGCATCTGTCACTGACTGAGCCGCTGAACCAAAGGACCCAATCAGCCTCGAGTACAGAGATGAAAGCAAACCCATGCCAACCACATGTGCGGGGAGCTGGCTCTGCAGTCAGGGACCGGTGCCTTCACATCCAGTCTAACCCGTTAACGCTGCGACTCTGGGCAAGTGACTCGGCTTCTCTGTGCCTCAGTTCCCTCGTCTGTTAAACTGGGGCTGATAACAGTTGTGAGGGTCAAGTGAGTTCATAAATATAGTGCAGAGAACTGAGCACTCAAACATGTCACCTTTGTTATAACTCTTGAACGTTCATCGTCTCCAGTCTCCTGCTATTGTAAATTACGCCGTGAGGGTCTGCTGAGACCATGCCCGTAATGTATATTATCTCATTTAAAGCAGGCCTGTCACCCGACATCAGTCTGTGGACCAGAAAAGGGTTCTATGGACAGTAACCTCACAGGGTGACCTGATCATAAATTCCTAACTGGGCAGGCAGGTCACGGTGGGTAGTCACAGACAGGCATGTAATGCTTTTAGTGAAAGATTTTAAGCCAGTCCTGTCCATTGTTCTTGTGCATCTAGTTAACACGCCTTTGAAATACCAGAAGTAAAACCCCTTGAAGGCATAACCACCCATAAGAATGCACATAATCTTGTAACTGGATTCTGCCTTGCTTTCTCCCACCCTCCTGTAACCTTTCTTCCTCCCTCCCTCCCTCCCTCTCCTCAATTTCAAATGCATAAAAGAAGCTGTAAAACTCTTATTCTACGTAACATTTGAGATCTTGCTCCTTGGCAAATGTCATCAGTTTGGCTCGAATAAACTCATAAAACTTCTCTACAGGTTTGGACGTTTCTTCTGTCAACAGGTCAGCTGAGGCAGGTGGAGGATAAGGACCAGGTGAATCCCCGGGGAGGGCAGAGGCTGGAATTCAAGCTTGGTGTGCTCAAGACATATTCTGTCAGGAGCTCACCTGTGTGGGGTACCTTCTGGCAAGGAGTGCAGAACCAGTTCCCCATTCTCACCACTGCCAAAGCCCAAAGGTGGCTGATGGCACAGCCGGACAGGGATGCCTCTCCCGGCGCCCAGGCACCCTCCACAGTGACGAGAGCAGCCACTGCTTGTGTGACGACCCAAGAGAAGGGAAAGTGGGGCCCGCTGTTGTCACCTCTACCAGGCGAGGATCATCACAGCCCGATTACCGAGCTCTTTGACAGCTCTGTGCTATGTACCCTGCATGCGTTTATGCATTTTATCTTTACTTCAACTCTATGAAGTAGGAGCGACTGACATATCTGAGGAACCAGGGAAGTGACTTGCCAGGGCCACCCAGCCAGGATGTGGCAGAGCCAAGAGCCAAAGCCAGAACCAGGACCCAAACCCCTGCTCATGGCCACCACACCACACTGCATCAGGCCCTTCTGTCCCTGGGTGTGGCAGGACACTCCTGTGGTCTAGCATTGCTGCATTGCTGCTGGCTCAGCCAGAAGGCAGGCTTCCCCTTTCCTCACGTGCTCAGAGGGGGTTTCCTCACTCAGATTGAGGCTCTCTTCAGCTACCTTCAGTTCCTGCTCCTGTCAGGAGGTCCCGGATCTTCATAAAGCAACGTCCAGTGCCATAGACTAAATGTTATGTCTTTCCAAAATTCGTATGTTGCAACCTAACCCCCAATGTGATGGTATCAGGGGGTGGAGGCCTTTGGGAGATGCTCAGGTCAGGAGGGCGGAGCTCTTATGAATGGGATTAGTGCCCTTGTAAGAAGAGACACTGAGAGAGAGCTTGCTTCCTCCTCCCTCTTTCTCCCATGTGAGGACACAGCGAGAAGACAGCCATCTTTGAACAGGAAACAGACCTTCACCAGCTACTGACTCTGCCACTGATTTGATCTTGGATTTTCCAGCCTCCAGAACTATGAGAAATAACTCTGTGTTGTTTACAAGCCACCCAGTCTATGGTGTTCTGTTATGGCAGCCCTCAAGGACTAAGTCACCCTGGCTGGATCCTTGGAACTGCTGAGGTCACAGTGCCTGGGAGGGTCAGGGAAGGGAAAGAGGAGAGTCAACTTTTTTTCTCAGGAAGCTCTAGGCTCTCAGTCCTAATATGACTAGCAGTGGACAGAGGCCCTAGAGTGGGGGACAAGGGCGCCCCAGGTCAGTCTGCCTGGTTCACAGCACCATCTCCAGGGCCCAGCAAGGGTGGCTAAAAGCTTCTTCCTGTAGCCTGGTGACCCGCCTTGATGACCTTTAGCACAGCTGCTGTTGGACCTGTTTACCTAATGTCTTGACACCAGCACCTACAAGGCCACCGCAGCTTAACATACAGTCCATGTAAGAACTGTGTCTTTGCCATGCCAAGGGATTTCCAATCAAGTCCTTCTGGTCCCCAGCCACCCCTGAATTGGACTGCCTCCCCCACCCTCCTCTTAACAGATTCCAAATGTGCCACTACAGTTCATCACATGTTAGCACAATGCCATCCTTGTCGCTTCCCTGTGAGGTGGGGAATACCGTCCCCGTTTTACAGATAGGATTGAGTGGTTTTAGACAAACAAGTAACCTGTCTGAGCTTGTCCAGGAAACGAGGATCCTGTCCCTCACTCCTGGGGTGGTTGTGCAGGTAAAATGCAGAAAGCTCTAAGTCCAGCGGCTGCCGGTCATGGTAGCGACTGTTTGGTGGATGAGAGTCCGATATCAGCCACCCTGAGGCCACTCTCTCACTTCCACCAGGTTACGGAAGTGGACAAATGCCCAGCAAGGGAGGAGGGTGCCTTGAGGAATGTGCCTTGGCTTAAAGGGCCCAGGGCACCAGGTGGGCACCCTGTTGTGCAGCTTGGGCTTCAGGACACTCTGAGACACACCTGAGCCCTGAACAGAAGAAGCCTTTTTCTCTGAGGGCCGCTGTGCACAGGGCCCGACACCCATAGGTTCTGAACCAAGTAGGGAACTGGCCTGGGCCCCAAGCCTGGCTTCTGGGAATGAGCCCCACTCCTGGTCAAACAGCAGCAAGCGAATGGATGTCCAGGGTTACAACACAGCTTGCCCACATTTGTAGGTCTGACAAGGACCATAACAGGGATGCCTCGCAATCATGGAGGGCACATGTTCAAAATTTAGGATCAGTGCGTCTGGGTTGGGGATCTGGGACCTTGGGTTTAAGAAGCTCCTCCAGCTTATGGTGTAGGTGGCCCCACTTTGACAAAGGCTGAGCTGGAGGAGGCATCTCCTGCCACACCCAAGCTCCCTCTCCCGGATCGCAAGCTGAGTCAGGGAGATGCTTCCCACTGAAGCAGGTCAAATGGCCTTCATCTACCAGATCAAGTCCACAACACTTGAGGCAAAGCACCAAGGTCCTCCAAGAACTGCCCTCCCCATCTCATCTCCTGTCTGTACCCAGGTCTTCAATGGTCACTCTCAGGCACCAGGCTTCTTTCTGCACATGCTGTCTCTTCCCCTAGGTGTGTCCTTCTCCTCCTGGAGGGCCTGGCAGAGCTACTAAGATCTAGTTGTAAGTTGCCCTCTCAAAGAGGGCTTGCAAGAGCTGGCTGGACAGCACCTGTCACCTCTCCCCTCCCCTTGTCCACATGCCTCATCACACCCCTCAGTGATCACTGCTCTTAAAGCCCACTTCTTCCCGTGTCA